ACAGCTTCAGCATCACCTGGGAATTTGCTAGAAATGCAAATTCTCCTATCTCATCCCAGACAATGAATTGAAATCTCTGGGGGGTGGAGCCCAATAATCTGTCTTAACAAACTCTGCATGTGACTCTTATGCACACTAAAGTTTGAGAAGTGTTTGTTGCATATTAGAATCACCTGTGGAGGTTTTAAAACTCTTTGTACCTGGGTTGCACTCCATATCGATTAGCCTTGAGTTTGGACTCAGTATTAGCATTGCTTAAAAACTCACTAAGTGATTCCTTGGCAGCCAGGATGAGCACCAGTGCACTCAGCCATAGCTGACCCTTCTCTTGGCGTTGTCAATCAGATCTGGGCTCCCAACTTAATCCTTCGTCATAAATTCGCTTAAGGAATAGCAGTTTCTTGCAGTTTTCTGTGCAAGCTAACTTCACATGGTCATGTTCAGGCTAAGATATTTCCAAGTCCCTTTGATAGTGCTTTTTTGAACCATCTAGGTTATTTTACTTTGTAATGTATACAGCTGATTATCATTATTTTTAGTCGTTATGTTCTATAAAGTTACCACAAACACTGAAAACCATTACACCTAGGGGAAATAGTCATGCGGTGGGTGCATAATGATGTTTCGGTCAAATGATAGCATATATGAGTGGTCCTGTAACATAATGTCTATAGTATATAGCCTAGGTGTGTAGTAGGCTATACCCTCTAGGTTTGTGTAAGTACATTCAACGATGTTCACACAATGACGAAATTGTCTAATGAAGCATTTCTCAGAACATATCCCTGTAGTTCAGCTACGCATGACTGTACTGGGTTAGGTTCCTACAAGCCACTGGTCACATCTTAGTCACCTGATCAGTAGTAACCTGTGTTATGTGTATTTCTACTTAAAGACAGCTTAATTTTATATGTGTATATATACATATATATACACATATATATATATATATGTATATATATATATATATTTTGGGGGCTGGCCTTTACAGGGATCAAACCCTAGAACTTAGCATTTCTCAGCACCTCACTCTAACCAGCTGAGCTAAACGGCCAGCCAATTATATATTGTTGATTCATTAACGTAGAACTCAGCCAATAACACTATGCTTGAACATATTTTCTCCATAAGGTGCATCACAGCCATCTTCTACTTAGGAACACTAAACAGCACTTCAGCACTACGTTAGGGGCAATTTTAAACAGTGAAATCAACAGAAAGCAAAAAAATGTAAAAAACTTGGACAAGATAGGCCACAAGAACATTTATTTACAGTATGAGAGCTGGAACAAGAAGGCAAAGCATTGGCTTNTCAGCCAATAACACTATGCTTGAACATATTTTCTCCATAAGGTGCATCACAGCCATCTTCTACTTAGGAACACTAAACAGCACTTCAGCACTACGTTAGGGGCAATTTTAAACAGTGAAATCAACAGAAAGCAAAAAAATGTAAAAAACTTGGACAAGATAGGCCACAAGAACATTTATTTACAGTATGAGAGCTGGAACAAGAAGGCAAAGCATTGGCTTGTTCAGCCTCAGCTAGGAATGTACTCAAAATTTTCACTCTGTGCATGTCTGCAAATAACTGCAAAAGCATTGAAAGCACTGCAATATTGATATTGGGGTTACAAGTAAATTTTAGTGAGGATGCAAATTCACAAATATGGAATCTGCGAATAATGAGGATCAATCACATCTTAAAATACTCCTCCTTCAGTCTTGCTATATCCAGAAGTAGGGGCAGATGAAGTGAACCAGGAAGTCCTGTTGGCTTCTATATACCCAGCATCCAACCTCTTCCCACTGCAGGGACACTCTAGTTCAAAACACCATTATCTCTCACTCGGACTGTTGTGACAGCCTCCTAACTGGTGTCCTGCTTCCATGCCTTCCCTACAGTCAATTCTCAACAGAGCAGCCAGGGTGATCCTTTCAAAATATGAGATTGTGCTACTGCTTTACTCAAAACTCTCACGGCTTCCTGTCTTGCTCAGTAAAAGTCAAGTTCTTTTTTTTTTTTTTCCTTTTTGTCTTTTTTACTGACCGGTAACGGGATTGCAACCCTCG